TAAAACCCAAGTGCCTATTTGTTAATTTGGGGTTAATTAGTGACAATTAATTAGGGAAATTGATATTACTTGTTTTGCTTTGAAATTAGAAATGTTCATGTTAGCCAGTAAAGACCATGGAGGACTGTGGGATTGGAAATTGTGATGTTAAGTGTATTAAGAAGACAATTATTATGAGAGCCACACCATTTTCTTTCTTAATCATTTACTTGAATTGAGATTTTTGTGTTATCTTTCTTTAAAAGGTTTTTGTATGGTCTTGCTGCATCTTTTGATATTTCTTAATCATAACTTCTTTCTACTACAAATAAACAAAGATTATAGAGAACATGGCAATTTAGGTTAGATTAAAGTAAAACACAATAAATCTTTTTAACAAAATGCTAAAATCTATAATAAACCTTCTTTTTTTTGGGCCAACATTTCAATGCATCTTTCTCAACTTCATGTTCCAAAAAAAAAAAAAAAAGTGAAGGGAAAGTCAAATAGTCAAATGGTCAAAGAAAGGATTGGGGAAAGAGCCAAAGAAAGAGTGAATTGTGCAAAGACATGAACATGATTACAAGAAAACAAGAAATTCATATTTTTCTTTATCAGTTTTTTCAGTTCCAAAATCCGTATAATACGGGATCCGAGTTTCTCGCACTGGGATAGGAAAGTGTCTTAATGGATCATTAACACTTCAATAACATAATATTCGCACAAATAAAACACACTCAAACAAAGTACACTCAAAGAGGTCAAAATAGAAAGGAGATACAACCGATAAGGAGTTAATCTGCTAATATCCTCGGACACGGTCAATTATCAATTCGGAGTCCCCTTGTACAATCAGAATGATCAAGAGCATGAACTAAAGCATAACGCATGGCAACACCTTCGGCAGCAGCCGTGCTTGTTGCCCCTCCAATCTTCGTGGCCTATACCATCCTATCCTTGTTACAAAATTCAATTTTAAACTAAAAAGACGATGATTATTTAAAGCATTACTTAGCTAATGTTGTAGATTATAAGCATAAGTCTAAAGCGGTCCAGCTTGGAAAGCACTGAGAGAAAAATAAATGGATAGAGTTAGGTGCTGAACAAGTGGCAACTGTGCATGAGCTATATGTGCGCAACAAGGACAACGACATAACCAATGTTTGATTGATTACAACTTATGGAGAGATAGATAAATCATAATTCGACATGAATTATAGACATTTTGTTCGGTAGCCCATCTTTTCTCAAACCACAATTGCCTGTCATTTATGTCTAGATCACAAAATATTGATTACAAAGAATAATGCACAAAAGAATTTAAGTAGTTGATAGTATATAATAGGGCTCAACACGGTTTGGTTCATCATATCAAGTGGCTGAGATCGTCCATTGAACCGACTAAGTTAGTGCAAGAATATATATGGGGTCGACACCAACCCACTACGTGTTCACCGACCACAGTCAGCTCACCAAATCAATGGTTCAATGCGGGTCAATTTTGGTGAGTTCGAATGAGAACGATGGCGAGATTTAGTGACGATGATGACAATGATGGTGACATGACAACGAGATCTTGAGAGCATCTATGGATGTCGAAGGGAGAGACTACAAGAGAGACGTGACAGAGAGAATTTATGTTGGTTGGGACCAAGGTCTAAAATATCGAGAGTTTCGGAAATATCGGTAGTCCAAAAACACGAATATATTGATGGAAATATCGAGGAAATATCGATATCGATAAAAATTGAATAAAAATCACAGAAATTGTGAGAAAAACTTGAAATTTTTTATTGAAACTTTAGAGGATGTTTACTTAGTCAATTGTCTATTATTTTATCACAAAAAATTGAAAGGAAATGCATGATATGGTGGGTTTGAGTGATTTAAGTTGATTATGTAGCGACCTGACAAACATTGTGACTTTAGAAAATATGTAATAATTAATGAAAGAAAATTAAACACACCATAATTTTTTAGTTATAATAAGGTAAAAAGACTAATAAGTTAAAATGATAAAAATGTGGTGTGAGCAGGACTATAGTAAGTTTTGAGACGAACTAAGGCTTATGTCGAGTGGAAAAGGTGAGTTTTTCAAAGCAAAAAGGAGAATAATGCAGGCAGGTTTAGTTTGGTTAAACCACCAGTTTGGAAATTCAAAACCGTGAACGAAACTGGCTGAGTTGATCCTATTCGACTTTACCATCGAAATTCCAATAAAAAAATAAAACATACCAAATTGGCACCATCGTTCTGGTTCGGCCGGATTGACCAATTTTTCGTTGCAAATATCGGACTCTAAAGCAAGAGAGAAACTCTCATGCAACGAAGATAATACTTTTTGCTATCCCCAACCAATAACAAATGACACGTAAGATAATTTTTTAATCTGTCATTGTATTATTAATCGGAAATAGCAAAACAATGATGTTCTTTTTAGAATAAAGTTTTTTTCCTCGCACAGGGCCCTATTAAACCCCCAAAAAAAGAAACAAAAAAGGGGCCCGAGTGGTATAGCCCTATAGAGGTTTCGAAATCATAATGAGCCCACAAAGTACAAAAGTATGAGAGTCCTTAAATAGCATAATGGTAAAAGCATGCATCCTTTTATCCTTCCGCACGGTGGTGAAGGTAATGGAAGCTTTCAGATTTTCAGTCCAAAACGAAAAGAGTGGCCGATCCATCCACTATCCAAAATTCAAACATAATGGAACCTTTTTTGCAGTTTACATTACTTCATTGTCTTCTTCAATGTGGCCGATCCATCCACTATCTTAAAAAATCAAACATAATGGAACCTTTTCTGGCAGTTTACATTACTTCATTGTCTTCTTCAATTAAGGACCAGTTTGGCATTGTTGTGTCGTAAAAATAATCGCTGTCAGATTTGTTGTAAGAGAAATCAGCTGTAAGATAAAGAAGTTTGGTGTTTGGTAAATTTTTTCGTTAAAAGTGATGTTGGTACAATAATCAATTTCTAAGTATTTGATAATTTTTTTGTGTGAATTGTGTATAATGACTAAAAAGGTCTTTATGTTGAAATGGCTTTTCTGTTAAAGTGTTTGATAAAAGGGAAAGAACTTTCACTTTCACTTATAATTTTTTTTTAATATATTAAATATGTTTCCATCACACCCTAAAAATTATTTTAATTATAAAATAAATTAAATATTATGTTGAAAATTAAATATTTGTATCCAAATGCTCTAAACTAATGTTTCAAGTTAAATCCAATATATCCCATTATAAATAAATATTATGTCAAAGAAACAAAGAAACAAAAATAGGAATAGGAAAAAAAAAATCTTGCACTAACTTAGTTGGTTGAGATCGTTCACTGAACCGACTAAGTCAGTGCAAGAGTATATATGGGACCGACACCAACCCACTACTCGCCCACCGACCACAGTTAGCTCACCAAATCAATAGTTCAATGCATGTCAATTTTGGTGAGTTCAAATGAGAACGATGACGAGATTTAGTGACAATGATGACGACAATGGTGACATTTGACAACAAGATCTTGAGAGCATCTATGGATGTCGAAAGGAGAGAGGACTTTAAGAGAGACTTGACACACAGAATTTATGTTGGTTGTGGCTAATTGAAGGAGACGAAAGGTAACAATATTAGTAAGTTAATATGACAAAATTGTGGTGCGAGGAGGACTATGGTAAGTTTTGAGCCAAACTAATAGGCTTATGCCAAGTAGAAAATGTGAGTTTTTCAAACCGTGAACAAAACTTGTTGAGTTCATCATGTTCGACTTTACCATCGAAATTCCAACAAAAATATAAAACATACCAAATCAGCACGATCGTTCTAGTTCGGCCGGATTGGCCAATTTTTCTTTGGAAATGGCAGACCCTAGTGCATGAGAGAAACTCTCATGCAACGGGAATAACATTTTTTGCTATCCCCAATCAATAATACAATGACACATAAGATCAATTTTCCATGTGTTAATCGGCCACAAAGTAAGTCCTTAAATATTTATAGGCTTATTATCACAAAAGGTCCCTAAGGTTTACGAAACTATCAGATTGCATCCTTAATGTTTTTTTGTGTCACTTATGGTCCTCAAGGTTAGTATGTGTGATCACAAATGGTCCTTGCCGTTAGGTTCCGTCAAAAACTCCGTTAGTTTGCTGACGTGGCATATATACATATCACAAAACATCCCTGAGGTTAACACATCTATCACAAATGGTCCATGCAAATTTTTTTAATTTTTTAATTTAAAATTCATAAAATTTTGTTTTTGTTTTTTATAATATTTAAAAATATATATTGTATTTTAAATACATATGATACTATATTTTTGAAGATGAGGGCTCCACATATATGCCACACCAACAAACTAATGAAGTTTTTTTCATGTGTATTTAAAATACAATGTATATTTTAAAATAATTTAAAATTCATAAGATTTAAAAAAGAAAACCAAAATTTTATGAATTTTAAATGAAAAAAATTAAAAAAATTTGCAAGGACCATTTGTGATAGATGTGTAAACCTCAGGGATGTTTTGTGATATATATATATATATATGCCACATCAGCAAACTAACAGAGTTTTTGACGGAACCTAACGGCATGGACCATTTGTGATTACACATACTAACCTTGAGGACCACCAATGACACAAAAAAACATTAAGGATGCAATCTGATAGTTTCCTAAACCTTAGGAACCTTTTGTGATAATAAGCCATATTTATAATAGCATAATGGTAAAACCATGCATGTGGTGAAGGTAATGGAAGCCTCCAGGGTTTCAGAATTTCAGTCCAAAACAAAAAGCGCAGCTGATCATCTATTCCATCCACTATCCAAATTCGAACATACTGGATCCTTTTTGAGGTTTACATGACTTCATTGTTTTCTTCAATTAAGTTTGTGTCATGAAACACCAGGACAATATGCTAACTGACACAAGTTTTCATGTTAAGTCTCTGTCACTCAAATCAAACGGAAAATAGAAAGAAAAAGAAAGTAAAAAAGGAGAGATGACAGAATTGAAGAACACCAAATATGGGCCGGATTAGCAAAGACAAGACAAGATGTTACACTGAACACAGACATGAAGAGACCAGAGAGTATACAGAAACAGAACAGATGCACTCAGATTTTCCCATCGAAACCCACAAGATGCCTTTTTGTTTTTGTATTTTTTTTTCTTCTTTTCTTTGGGATCTAAAACCAGTAAACTCCCAATTCTAACTTGCAACATTAAATACAACCTCTCATTAAATTGGTTCGCCTATACAACAGAAAACTTATTCTTGCATTCACACAGAACTTTGCAATTTCTTTCTGTCTTTCCTTGTTTGCCAAGGTTTCTCTTCTTTTCTTTTTTTCCCGTTGATCTGTTGAGATTTAAGACAATGAATTCTTCTTTCATCACTTTACTTCACACGTCTTTGCCAACAATGAGAGCAAAAGCTAGAAGTCGCAAACAACATATATTCTCTCAGCTGGACTCTCGTGGACACAGGAAACAACTGCATTAAATTTGTCCACAATATCATGAGCAATTGATGATTTGTATAAGCTCAAATCAACATTATATGAAGATAAATTCATATCTCTGTCTATACCATGTTGATGAGCATGCTCATCATCAATGTAAGAAACAATGCAGAGCTTTGAATATTCCGATGTCCAAATGTTTACGATACGACGACGATACCCATAAACATACAGGGCCCCAACTCTTTCCTCAACTCGTTCACAATGGGTTTGTTGGTATATAGTCACTTGCAAGGCATTTTGCATCTTACGTCCTGTAAACTAATGGCATGTTTACCAAGGCATAGACATATAGAATTATCTTCTTAGCAATCAAATCATTTATTTCTTAAAACGTTTTCCACAAAACACAATGCATAACATATACAGTCTTGAAGAAGCAGTTCATATCATAAAATGAAAAACACAACCCACAATCTGCAAAGACAAAACAGAACAAGCAATATCCGATTGCTGCCCAACAACAATTAGCCATCAAATTAATTACCCGACAATTGACAATTAACAATTAACATGCAGGCAATGACATAATTAGTTAATTAATTAATTGCCACCGAAGGCCTTAAGCAAAGAAAAGAAACGACGACGTACGTAGGTAGGTAGAATTGAATTGATGAGTTTCAGTTATAGTAGAGTTCGAGGCCCATGCCGTCGTGGATTTCGTAATCCTTGAGAGTGATGTGATCCTTGTAAATGTTGTACCACTTTTGGATTCGGATCTTATCGGCTCGGGTCCCCGTCTGGGCCGCCACCAGCTTCTTCAGGTCGCCTATGGTGTCGTCCTCGTTGCATGTCACCCGAACCTTCTTTCCCAGCCTGTCGTTCAGCACCACCTCGATCATCTTCTTCTTCTTCTTCTTCTTCTGCAAGGTTTCAAGCCCTAAGGCCCCTGATCCCTATCCCGAGTTTCTCTGGATTGGTTGTCTATGGAGTTGCAGAGGCGCTAAACAACTGAAATATGAGGAAGTTGGGCCTCTCTTGAACGTTCTACAATGTGCTACTGAGGGTATCTTCGTCTTTTCGCCTTACACTGAGCAAAATACTTGTAATACCATATTACACGTCGGCACAGCAGCCCCGTGTTGTATCGGATTACAGAGCAACATACTGTTCTTCTTACTAAACGGAAAATTACTATTTTAATAAATAGTAGGGTTATTCGCAGCAATGGTCCCTCAACTATACTCTTAGTTACACTTTGGTCCCTCAATTCAATTATTAGTTGCAGGGGTCACTCAACTAGGTGCTACGTTGCACCAGTAGTCCCTCTGTCAAACTCTGTTAAATTTTCTATCAAAAATGAGGGTAAATTCAAAAATTCATCCACAACCCTCCCCTTCCTCCACAACCATCCACTTCTTCCATTGCCTCAACCCACGCCTTCCTCCTCCAATCCCTCCCAACCCCAATCCCTATCTCTCTGTCACACTGGGCACCCATCCCCAACCTGTATTCCTCAAAATACTCCAGACGCAATTCTCACCCTCCCATCCCTTCCCCACCTACCCTTCTTCCCACAAAAACTGCATATCACCTTTTCTTTTTAGCACAGAAACTAATGAATTATGCAAGAACAGCTTTTTCATCAAAAACCCACTCAATTGTGAGTCCATTCCCATCCCCCAACTCCATCAATTGTTGGGTTGCAATTTCAGCCAACGTATCCAAGGAAGAAGAAGAAGATGATGATGATGAAAAAACCCTTTTGTTTTGCTTGACCATGGCCTTCTAAGGAATCAAACACCCATCAAATCCATATCCACGAAGTGGGTTGCAGCAGCAATTTCTCATAGCCATGGCCATGGCCTTCTTAACATCATCTTTCTTCCAATTTTTGACGATAACAAAAACCTCAGAGAGAAGATTCAACGAATTTGAATCATGCCCAAATTGAAAATCACCCTTCATTCCCATAACCAAAATGCAAAAACAAAACTTTCACCTAAAAGATTAAGAACACAGAAATAAACCCAACTCGATCTGTGCAGTAAAAGCCTTCGGCACTTCCAGACCCAATTCTCACTCTCTCGACGACTCTCGCTTCGCACCAAAACAAACGCTCGCAAGCCAAGGTAGCGTTTCACCACTTCTCGTCCGTTTGGTTAGAGAGAAAAGAAGAGAAAATCAAAGCTGCGAAAGTTCGATCCATGGCCCATCTTCTTCAAGCGTGAGTGGAGGAGGAAGGCGTGGGTTGAGCCAATTCAGCCTTGCCCCATGCCGCGACGATCATCTCGTCCTCGATCCATGTACATAGGCCGGTTATAATCTTTTGGTGGTGAAGAATCCAACCGATCGAACTTGGTTCTTCCTCTATGGTTGTCTGAGTAATCCAATCGATCTCTTCGCATTTGATGGTCAGGAAACCTGCCTTCATGCCTTGGAGGTGGCATCCCAGCGCCAAAATCTCTAGGGCCATCTCTAGCCCAGCCACGAGGTGGAGACCTATAGCCACCATTCAAGCTCCTTCCAAGTGGAGGATCAACTGAAGGACCAGGGAAACATCTAGGAGGACCACTGGGAGGAAGGGGAGGATTGTTGAGGAAAGGGAGGGTTGTGGATGAATTTCCTAATTTACTCTCATTTTTAACGGAAAAAGTCACAGACTTGACGGAAGAACTACTGGTGCAACATAGCACCTAGTTGAGTGACCCCTGCAACTAATAATTGAATTGGGGGACCAAAGTGTAACTACGGGTATAGTTGAGGGACCATTGCTACGAATAACCCTAAATAGTATAATCGCGCGGTTATACCTGCTGTACTAATAGCCGTGCGGCTATTAGCGGCTATACTAATAGCCGCACGGCTATACTGGGATATATATATACATTAATTAAAAATTTTCGTTTGTCAATAGGAGTAGTTTAGAGCATTATCTAGTACTATTAGGCTATTACCCGAGTCTCTATTGTCCCATTTTGATTTTTTACTTTTCTAGAGTTAATACTCATATAAAGAATTTAGCATTTTCCCGTTTAATACTCATATTATACTAGTATGTACTTATTTTTCAATAATACTTTCATTTTTCGTACACGTCTTAAAGACTCGATAAAAAACACATTTTTTAAATAAAAAAAAATACATACAATACACATTATATACGTACGTATGTGTTTTTCATGTTTAATACAAGTATTTTTTTACAAAATTTTGAATAATACAGACAAAATTCACATATATACATATTATATTAAAATATTATATACACTTTTCAGTTGTATCTTGCCAAAATTTTACTGAATAAAACACATACGTATTTTATTCGTACTTTTCGTCCCGTATTTTACTAACTAGGCTTATAAGTAAACATGTAAAGTGGAAAAAAAAACTTCCCTACTATTATTTATAAAGTCGGGC